AAATATAAAAATAAGTTAACGTCAGTGAAAAACTCCAACATAAAGATTGTTTTTTTAATAAACAAGAAGAGAGGTCCGTTATGTTATTTGGCTGTACGGATCTTTGTAAAGAAGCTAAGTTTCATCTTCCTCCCTCCCTGAAAAACAAAAATCTCTCGGGGCTTTTTTGCTTTTCGTTTCGACTTTAGATTCATCAAGCTGCTCAGATTAACACCGGAAATAGGAGCGGTGGACGCCACATTCAAATTAGAGAGTTGCCTTTTATGCACATATTTCAAAAACTGTAAAACCACATGAGAACAAGACCCCCAGAAAAAACGTATAGACTGGCAGATGATGACTACTTGGAAATATTGTTATTTATAATTTAAAAATTACAAAATTTGTGATGTTTCTTTCTTAGGGTTTAGTTAGTTTCCTCTGGCGGGACTTAGTTGGTTTTGTTTATTATTTTGGCCTGGGTTCATCCTGGAGCTATGCTCCCCTGAAATCACATTTTTTATTCATAGCTGGTTTCGGGTGTTTGGCTTGGGAACCAGGGCGGGTACTTGCCTCTCTCTCCTCCAACCTTATGTGCGTCTCTACACGCCTAGACTAGGGGCGTAACAGAAAACTTGAGAGATGTGCGCTATCACCAGTCTCACAAGCACAAGGACCCTGAAGTAATTCTAAATCAAGTTTCCCACTCCACGGTCAGTTACACAGTTTCTGTTATGCCACAGTGACACATCTCAGATCTGATGAAAAAGGACGAGTTTCCCCATAGAGGCAATGGCTTCTTTTTTAAACTTGAGGAGATTTTATTTTTGAAAAATAGATAACCGGATGTTGCGCTCGTCGGTTGATGGCAGCTTGACTCCTGCTTTCATCTCCGGTGAGGACACACAGGTAACCGCTCCAGGTGTTTAAGCGACGGCTGCCCCACTGTTAACGCTCCGGGCGGATTCAAACTGATTAGGTGGGGTATGGTTATTAGCTTGAATGCGAAGCTTTGACGAGAACCGGGAAAAAAATGGTATTTGGCGAAGTAAAGTTTGTACAGTGCTGTTAGCAGGCAGGGTTAGCTACAGTCTGGCTGCTAGCTCAGGTTAGCCGTGCTAACAGAAGTAAACTAATGTTGGCTTTAATTTCCAAAGGCGCGTTACATTTCCGCGCGGTGTTAGTTTGTCACTTGCGCTCTTTAATCCAAAAGGTGACACCTGACACGTGAGGGATACACTTATTCACAGGAAGACAGAATCAGATGCTAGTTTAGCAGAGCAGCTAGCCTGAGCAGGATGCCGTCCGCGCCGATGGACGTCACACAAGACTCGCCTTAAATTCGGTCCGGGTTACGGTTACCGTGCTGATCCGGACCGACATGCAGCTGATAATAAATCTTTTTAGGTGGTTCTTAATGCCCAAGGGTGCCTCCTTTAATCCGGCTGTAGTGTTATACTTGAATTAACCCGTTAATGTCTTGTTTTCTAGACTTTGGTGAAGTTGGTTAGCTTACAGTGTTTACTGTAAACACGTTAACCGAGCGGAGAGAAACGGGAGCTATCCCCACACACCGGACATCAAACCCGGCAGGTAGGCTGGTGAGGTGATGCTCTGTGGTTCTTTAGCGGGACTCTCAAAGTTTCTTATCGTCGGCTTTAGCAGAACAGCTAACGCTGTAGCTGCCAGTGTTTCAGCTCTAGCTGAGCGGCTGCAGCATGTTTGCGCAGGAAAGTCCGCTCTGATGGTAGGAGAGAGGCTGAAGGTGTCACACACAGGCTCACAGGTTCACCTGCACATTCACGCGGTCAGCTCGCACTCTGTGACTCGGGCAGTCGGAAGCTAACTGCTCATTTCTGCTGTAAAGCAGTTAGCTGGTTAGGCTAGCCTGCTAGCCCGGGGTAAACTTCAGTGAGTTTGCGCCGCTGAAACACGTTATAAAGTCCATTTTAGAGATTTTTAAGCTTCTTAAAGTATTCCACCGAACGTTTTCAGGGCGTCTAAACTATCAGCTGCTACTATTAGTGGAAAGATGCTAACGAACTGGTCTGTTTGTAGGCCTGAGTGTAAGTTTTATTCAGCGCGTGTGTGCACTGAACTCACACTGTTACCATCGTGCGTACAGGGTCAGCCTGCTGCTGCTGCACACGCGTGTTTCACTGTGAACACAGTCCTGCTGTCTTTGTGGAGAAGCACGAGCTCCTCCTCCTCTTCATCCCGTTCAAGCCATCAGGCTGCGGCCGAGCTGAAAGTCTGATCTTATTTCACGCAGTTAGGGTTTATTCCACGAGAAAGACTTATTGTAAAGTTGTATTGTTGACATTGACAGCAGCTGTGGCTGGTCTCTGTTATAACAACACTTTAAATGAGGAGAAGGATTTAGGACAGAGCACCAACAGAGGTCCATAAACACCTGGAACACCAGTTGATGCTTAAACAGAGTGTGTGGTAAGTGATGTGCATTTACCCGCGTGGAACAACAGCAGTGGGTTTAATCACACAGTCGGAGAGGATCAACCCTGTCTGAGAATAAATCACAACCTGCTGTTGTACACCTGAGGCAGGTGAAGAGGGGTTTGAGGTCACTGTCAGTCGTTGTCAGCAGGAAGGCGACGCTCACTGCCCAGAGTTTTTCACAATATTTGGAGCGATGTCGACGTGGATTTAGTGTTTATTCTTTGTCAGTGTGAAATCTTTCTCACCTGTTTGATATTGTGAATAAGATGAAACTATATTTCCTAATCTGAAGCAGACCTGAATGGAAATACATGTCAGACTTGGCCAGAATTAGAGACATGAGAACAACTCCACTGTGTCCACCCACCACTCTGACCTCTTCAGTAAACCCAACTGCAGATTTGAGGGTCAGATAATTGGTTTTATTTCTCCGTGCTTTGACTTCCATCATGTGGTAATCTCGTGTTTGCTCTGACCTTCAGCTCGTGACCGACGCTGATGGAGACTTCGGGAGTTTGCGAGCTCGATGTGGGGACGAGACGAATCGTAGGTGGCAACGATTCCCCGCCCGACCTGGACAGCCCGTCTCAGGTGAGCGTGGACGGCTCGTCGTTTGTGCTGCTGCTTGTTCATGTCTGTTCAGTGACCTGTGGGAGGTTTCTGTGTTTCCCTCAGAGTTGGGCTGTCAGATAAATAATCCCACGTGTTCTTGGTGACAGTATAATCAGCTGATTCTACACTCAGCGGACGAAATTCATCTCCTCCGCGTTGTCCTGCAGCTGGTAGTCCTTGTTCTCCACCTGCTGCAGATTCTGAGTTCAGACCAGAACAAAGATTACCACCAGCTGCAGTCCAGCACAGAGGGGCGGAGTCTGCACAGAGCGAGATCTGTGAGAGAACTTTTTTAAAGGATAACTGTCTAATAGATGGATGTGACTTTTGTTAGGAGGAGGTGTCTGAGTTTGGTTTGGGGCTCTCCTGCACCAATGAGGAGAGGGGGGAGACTCCAGGCCGAGAGGACAGTCCCAGCGACCTGGTGGAGGCGGAGCTCGATGCCGGCGGAGATGCGAAGAACAGAGAGGACAAAGCTTTTGGTACGAGCAGAACTGTAGAAGCACTGAACAGCCGGGATGCGTCTCTCACCTCAGGAATCACATTTAAATATTTACATACAAAATTTAAAACGGAATAAAACCAACACGGAGCGTGTGAAGCTTCACGTGACAGCACTCACACAGATACTGTGACACATATTTAGACTTGAATCAGAATCATTCAGCTGTGATTAGACTGCTCTTTGTTTAGACCAGAGAAGTGGAAGTTTTACCAAACAGGACATTTTTGTGTTAAAGCTTTTCTATTCTTGTGTCACCCGATGTCAGTTTCTTCCTCGTTGGTCCGGTTTGTTCAGTTTTGATCTTCCGTGTGGTTTCAGGGAAGGAGGTGGTTCTTCTGATGCAGGCGCTGAACGCTCTCGCCACTCCCGAGGAGAAGCTGGCCGCTCTGTGCAAGAAATACGCCGACCTGGTGAGCCGCAAATCCGACACACCGACACTGAGCAGATACTCCCGACACCTGGGAGCAGGTGACAGGAAGCACTCTGTCACCATGTGGTGTTGGTCTGGGTTTCTCAGTGTGATCTGGAGCACGTGCTCAGTCGCTCCGTTTCAGAGACATCACAGGCAGCAGATTGATTCAGATTTAGCGACACGGTGAACACGCTCTCAGCTCCTCCGTGAGTCGTGGTCGCGGCCGATCATTTCCCGCTCTGACAGCAGCGATCGTGGTAGTTTGGTTGGATTTCAGCAGAGCTCTGTGGGTGGATCAGTGGACACCCACAGAGTAATAATCAGCAGAAGCTCAGTGTGAACAACAGTAATGTTTGAAAATAATCACAAAGCTTCAGTTTGTATTTTTGGAGCCACAGAAGTAAATGAATCCAACAAGCTGGGCATCTGGAAGAAGTATGGAGATGTTTCACGCTTCAGATTTCACGTCACCATCTCACACAAAGGTGACCTTAGACCTCAGGAAGCTCTCACAGACTTGGACATAAAGAAGAAGAAAGTACGAGGAGGTTGTCAGATTCTGGCATGAAGCCTGGTTTGACTGACTCGGATACGACTGGTGACACTTGAACGGCTTAGAGATGTCCCCTTTCAGATCAGGCTTCTTGGTGCTACATGTTTGTTCTAAGCCTCCACACACACCACGCTGCCGTCAGCTTCCTGTTTGTTTCCATAAACATAAAAATGACCCAGTTTGTTCTGTTGTTGCTGTCTTTCAGCTGGAGGAGAGCCGCTGCATGCAGAAGCAGCTGAAGGCCCTGCAGAAGAAGCAGTCTCAAATCGTGAAGGAGAAGGTGCACCTGCAGGGGGAGCACAGCAAGGCCATCCTGGCCCGCAGCAAGCTGGAGAGTCTCTGCCGGGAGCTGCAGAGACACAACAAGACCCTGAAGGTAGTTCAGCCGCCACAAACACCCGATGAGGACCATTTTACATTTGTGCAGGTGTCACTCCTCCCCTTAACCCCGCAGGAGGAGAACGCCCAGCGGTCCAGGGAGTACGACGAGCAGCGGAAGGAGGCCATGCTGCACTTCCAGATGACCCTGAGCGACATCGAGGTGCAGATGGAGCAGCACAGCGCCCACAACACCAAGCTGAGGCAGGAGAACATGGAGCTGGCCGAGAAGCTCAAGAAGCTCATCGAGCAGTACGAGCTCCGAGAGGAGGTGAGTTTAGGTCCCGCCTGCCGTCCAATCAGAACAGTCTGTTTCTGCTCATGAAGTCAGCACTGGTTGTTATGAAGAGGATTAATGCTGCCATTAAAAAGGCAGAAATGCATTCTGGGTGTCACAACAGACTCGGCCTGGTTGTGACACTCTGTCTGCACACTGACGTCTGCAGCAGGTGATCCTGGTTCTGCTCATGCTGCAGGTTCTGGTTGGAGTAACCCTCCAGGACCCTGATCGCCAGCTCCAGACTCTGGCCACAACACACATGGTCAAATAAATTGATTGTGGAAGATGTTTTAAACTTAAAAACAAGGCAGTCGCTTCATCTCCCAAAGGTGGAAAATACGTTGCCTCCACGAAGGTCCTTTAAGACGTCTTAGATACACATTTAAAGGTCTTACAGACAATTACGGTCTTAAATCTACTCTTCAGTCATGTCGCAGTGAGACAACACTGAAGGTTTCATCGCCTCGGCACATTCAGGTCACTCGCTGTGACAGCGTCCTGCACACCGAGGAGAAACGTAACCAGGAGCTGAGAAGCTTGGCTGGGATTAGAGCAGCAAGAAAAACGTTGCGTTTGTAGTAATCTTTACAGTCACTCAGCTCCTGCTGCAAACGAGATTTCTGTTGTTTCTCTGCAGCACATCGACAAAGTGTTCAAGCACAAGGAGCTGCAGCAGCAGCTGATGGACGCCAAGCTGCAGAGAATCACCGAGATGATGAAGGAAGTGGAGGAGAAGCAGCAGCGTGAGAGAGACTTTGTGAGGATCTCAGTTTGTTCTGGTTTTTATCGCAGCTGTAAATGAGCTCAAGTGTCTGAGAGACTGTGTCTGTGCCGCTGCAGCTGCTGAAGGACGCCACCGAGTCCAGACGCAAGTGTGAGCTGATGAAGGAGCAGGAAACCCAGCTGAAGCAGCAGGTACACACACACACACACACACACACATCAGCTAGATCGTCTCCATTACTCACTGCTCTCGTCTCTCAGCTCTCTCTGTACATGGACAAGTTCGAGGAGTTCCAGAGCACCCTGGCTAAAAGCAACGAGGTCTTCACCACCTTCAGACAAGAGATGGAGAAGGTGAGTCACCTGCGTGTCAGCGTGCGGTTACCTGCTCACCTGTCTGTGTTTCTAAACTCTGTGTGTGCCTGCAGATGACCAAGAAGATCAAGAAGCTGGAGAAGGAAACGACCCAGTGGAGGACCAAATGGGAGAGTAATAACCAGGCGCTGCTGCAGATGGCAGAGGAGGTGATTCTTCTTCATGGGCTCTGTTTTGTTTTCCTCGAAACGTTTAAAGTGACCGATGTCGATCTAAAATGAAGATGGAGGCACGTTTTTGGCCTCAGATGTTTCAGACACACACTTTAGAAATGCCGGAGCAGACGTAGGAGAGCCAGACTGATTAGTGTCTCGCAGATCAAGTGTTCAGCACCGTCACAGCCTTTAAAACATAAAGGTCCAACGCTCGAGTGCACTCGTCTGAACTCGGGAGCTGAAAGAAGCAGCCACGCTGAAGTGCCAAAAGCTGCAGTTCCTCTGATGTCCAGCAGAGGCAGCAGTGAGTCGGTCCCCATAGACTCCCATGTTAGAACTTTCCAGCAGAAATAAGCACGTTTACAGCCTGAGACACAAACTGTTTGGTCTCTGTGGATCATTTCCTCCTTTATTACACCTGTACGGTGGAGGACGTTCCTAAAACACGCCTGGATTAAAGTTTGTTTTATTAGGGGCGTGGCCTTCTTTTTTTTACTTGAGAGCCAGTTGTTGATCCCACACACACTCTGCTAACTGTTTGGCTACTCGTAGTGAATTATATTGGCTCTCTTGTTTAGGGGAGTTTTCTGTAATTGGACATCCTTTAGTTGAACACCTCTGATTCTGACCAGGCTCTGATCTCTGGCCTCTGAAAACCAGCATGATGGTGGTCAGAATGCCAGTGTCGAGACCCGACGCGGTGATGTCACAGGAGCTTCATCCATCTGATTCTTCCTCCTACATGAAACTGGACCTGACTGAATGTTGTTGTTTTGCAGAAAACGCTGCGTGACGGTCACTTCAAGGCTCTGCAGGGGAAGCTGGAGCTGCTGGAGAGGCTGTGCAGAGCTCTGCAGAAGGAGAGGAACGACCTGAATAACCGACTCAGCCTCCTCCAGGAGCAGGGAGACAAAGGGAGCGCCACATCTCCTCAGGCCAAGCCGCGAGAGCCTTCGGCCGAGGATGGAGAGGATTCGGAGGATTCAGCGCAGGGTGACGGGCCGGAGACGGCGGCCGTTCAGGAAGCTCTCAGACCACCTGAAACAGACCCGATGGCGTCTCCTGGTGACAGCGAGCCTGCAGAGACGGCGAGCACGCCGCAGGACTGAGCTCACCTCGCAGCCTGCGTGGAGGTGAGGGGGCGTGGTGGGAGGGGCTTCACGCAGCTCCAGCCTAGTTCCACAACTAGCCAGAAAACCATCTTCAGTGGAGATGGAGCTCTTTTTTTTTTTTTAACATAGACCTCCTCAGATTTCTACACAGAAGCTGAAGCCGTGTCTCTTTGTGTGATAAATGATTGTATCAGATTCTCTAAATCGTGGCCCACGGTAACGATCGGCACTTCTTCATACTCCCCGTTTCTACTCGATCTTTATTTTCATAGGGAACCTCCAGGCGGGCCTTCGATTTCTCTCCTCACACGCCTGAGTATGACTTTGATTTGAGTCGGACACGCTGTCGAGTGTCTGAGGAAACGGGACTGGGGTCAGAGGTCATCTGACTGACCACAGGGGCGGGAAATGGCAGAACCTCGCAGTGTAGTTGGTTCTAAGTGTTTCCAGCAGATTGAGTCTGTCTGCTGCAGCCACGATTTCAGTCAGTCTTAAATTTTATTAATGATGAATGAGTCTGTGGATGTCTCCTCCACCATGATGCAGCTCCACCTGCTGCACGTTCAGGTGAGAGGAAACTTTCAGAGGACATCAGCGGCACTGATCCACGGTGCAGCTCTGATCACGTTTAAACGAATGTTTAGAAAAATAATCAAAATGATTCAATTTGAACTTTATTGAAATGTAGGAGCTTCGGTCTGATCACACAAATGTTTTCTGGTTTTCATTAACAAAACTGGTGATAACAGGAAGTGACTGTACTTTAACGTCACGTCGTTAATGTCACGCGGCTGCCATCGGGACGCAGCGGGATCGCTTTTGAACCTGCTGATAGGCACAGAGTCGGCATGACGACAGCCTCTGTCAAGTGTTTAAAAAAACAAATACAAACCATGAGTTTTGGGCGTTGTTTGCTGCCCCCCTGTGGTCAACCAGTGTCATTTCCTCTCCTTTGAAGCCGTTCAACACGTTCCTGGGGATCATGCATGTGTTTTGTGTTGAGGAGCGTGCACGTGTGAGGAAGAGTCGAAGGCCTTCGTCCTCTGAAAAGTGATTTCATGTAAATTATGTTTGGAAATGATGATGGGCTCTGTGATCTTTATACTGGAAGAAAAGCTGAATGTGATTTTTCTTTTTTTAATGAATCTGAATAAAAAAAAGAAATGTTGGTTTCTGTCAGTGATGCATATTATTAGGAACACCTGGGTCTGAGCAGGGGTCAAATCCCGCTCCGGGTCATTCTGTGGGGATTAAGTCATCAAGCAAGAAATTGTCTCAAACATTCATCTCTCTTCACCTTTTCATCATTTATCAGTTTTCTTTGACCAGGTCGTTAAAGTGGATCTATTTTGTTTCTATTCTTGGACTGTACCAGACCAGCTTTGCATGATTCAAAATAATCCTTCTGTATATCATACCTGGCCTCACTGCTGCTGAAATAGGCTGGTTTAGCTCCTCCCACTTTAAGACAGCATTCTGATTGGCTGCTTCTTGAAAAACAGGGCACCACCTCTCTGTGACATCATCCAGATTCAAGAGTAGAAAAAACTGAGACTGTGTCTAGAGCAGCTGAGCTTTAACATGAAGGACACAACGCAGGAACAGGAAATACACGACAGGAAGTGAGCAGAAGCAGGTCCACTTTAACTCGGGGTCACCCTCGATGGTCCCGCCGACGTGTCGACCGTGTTTCAGAGCGTCTCCGGCGTCGGATGAGGCTCTCAGCTTTTTGATGTGCCGTCGTTTAAAAAACGCTCCAGCTGCTTTCTGCGCTGTTCTCCTGCTGCACATCTGTAATTCAAACCACACAGCAGCGCCCGAATGACTGAGGCAGTTTGATCCGTTTTCATCTTTTTCCTGTCAGGTGATGGTGTCTGTCTCCGCCCACCACAAAACCTCAGCACGACCTTTTATCGAGAACGTTAAACTTTATTGAATCAGCTGCGAGAACAGCAACGCTGAAAGTTTGAAGGAGCGTTTGGACCCGTCAGATTCACCGGTTCTGTTTTTATTGAACTTGTTCCCCCCCCACACACGCATAATGAAGGGGCCAGATAAAGTCACATGATCAGTGTTTGGACCTGTCAGGTAACGGATTGTGTTCGACATGATTTCACCTGTGACCTCTTTAAAAGACTGTACATGGAGGATGGAGGTGGTGACGCTGAGGACCAAGGTTGCGGCACGTTTCTTCTTTCTGACTCTCAGGTAATGTCAGAATCTACCTCTGCAGGTGAGACTGAATAAAGAGGCGTCACAGCTTTGGAGAGCTTCTTGTTTGACTAACGACCCCTCGTTACCGTGTTCCTACAGTCTGTCTCGCTTTTCAATAAACGTTTTGTAGAATTTGCAGCGCTGCTGGTTTCTGTTCTTTGATTCCTGTTTGTTCCTCATGTTGATCAGGTCGTTGTTTTCATAACGGCACAAATGATACAGGAGCTGATGGTTTGGCTAGAGGCCGGATCTTAAAGAATTGCTGAGACGCATTTTTGGAAAAGTTACAAAAGCTTTATTGCGATCAGAGGTGCAGGAACCAAAAACTAAAGTTTCACATCATGTAACAGAACAAAGGTCTGTTTCCCTCGGGTGTAGGAATTTAGCCAAATGCAGGGGTGAGGAAGTACCGAAGGAGCGGGAGGCGAACGCAGCGGGAATGTTTGTTTGGAGGACGCGTCGTCAACTCGGGAACATCTAACAGGAGCTGCAGGTGGAGGAACGGAGCAAGCTATGCTGTAACGCTGCGTTTCCTTCCGTCAGCCCTTTTAAAATGAATTCACAGCGACAGTGTGCACACAGAGCCAATCCATCGAGCTCCGCCCACCCGAGAGGGACTTCAGTTCTTTTCCAGGTGCGTCGGTGCTTTTGGGTACCGGGCAGTGGTGAAGCGAAGCGAGACGGCGCCGGAGTGCGAGACGCCTCCAACGCGCCGCGCTGCTCTTTTCGCACTGAGATGAATCAGAGGGAGGGAGAGGACGGGTGGGGGTCAGGGGTGGAGCCTGTGCGGGGTTATGATCCCTGAGCCTCCAGCTCTGACGCAGGTGTGTTGTCGGGCTCCTCGTCATTGTAGATGTTCTCTGCCTGCAAGAAAGGAAGGAACCGTTAGAAGCAGCGCTGCAGTTCCTACCTCAACACGGGCGGCGTGAGAGATCGGCAGGAATCTGATGAACATCAGACGAACAGTCCTCTTTCCCCCCGATGTTAAAAACATTGCACTCTTGACATTGTTGAAACTGGCCTGACACAATGATGGACCTTCTTCTACCTTCATAATTCATATTTACATGCATATTAACATTTTGAGGCTCTCGCTGCAATCCAGCGATTTCTCCAACTGTCCACAGCTGTGCAAACGCTCTCGGGTTTGAAGGGTTGTTTCTCCAGACTGGATATTTCAGCTCCACAGGTAAAGGTGGGATTTGTGCTGCTCGGTGCTTTTTTTCCCTGAGCTGTGATACACTTTAGATTCTAGCCAATCATTTTACGTTTCCGAGGATAGTAGGCGGGTCCAGGTACGTACTTTCTTTTAGAGCAGAGCTACAGATTAAAAATGCCCAAGGCGAAGTCTGGCTGTACTTCACAGCAAAAGATGCAAACTCAGCAGCAACAAGTGCTTTAAGCTGATACTGTGATACTGTCAAAGGAGGTAACACCTCAAATCTGATGAAACACCTGGCGACGCATAGCGTTTTTTTTAAAAGCCCAGAAATGCGCCGTATTTGATAGCTTGCTGCGAGACCTCACACCGAGCACATCTACTGCGGGTGTGGTGCCTGTTATCGGACCCGGAGTTTGCAACATCCCCCAAAAACCCGAAGAGGAGAGTCCTGGCCCCTAGCCCTGCCAGTGTAGCAGAAATGATGAGGATGATGATGCAGCAGCAGCCGTTCTTCTCTGCGTGAGTAGCTTAATGTTGTTCGTGTGTAATTTACGTTGAGTAGGCTAACCACGTTATTACATTAATGCATGTAAGGTGAACTAGCAAACATCATCATAGCTACATGCTGCTGTCTTCTTGTTTGATGGCAGATACTCCCTTCACCCTGGACAAAAAGGCTAAAATGACCAAAGAAAAAGTGGAAAACAGTTAAACATGAGAGGTTTAGGACAAAGTTTGTGTTTTTTCCATTGTTTAAGCTTCCAGCCAAGAGTGATACCATATATGCCCCATAGCTGCAGAAAAGGCTAACATTGTTATCTTTTTACAAAAAAACAGCTGAACATGAGAGGTTTTTGGACAAAGTTTGTGTTCTCCATTCTTTAAGCACCGGCACCGTTTCAAAAGTACCGATTTGGCACCGGTATCGGATAAAACCTAAACGATACCCATCCCTAAGTCCAACTTTTTGTGCGATGGTTAGTGTCTTTAGAGTCACACTGTACTGTATAGGAGAGATGGCACGGAGGAGATCGACAATGCGCTGTATACAAAAAAAGGCAATGAAAAAAGAAATGAGTGAAACAGCACAGCTGCGTTATAGTGAGGGACCGCTGTAATTTTGAAGGTACGTCACAACATACCCTTTGTAAATACTAATGCATAGAAACCCTGATCAGCAACCATTCATTTATTTTTTTCTGTGGCTTTTTTTCACTGTTTGTTGACATGCTGTGTAGGTGTGGACTGATATCGACACAACGGGGGAAACATCTGGCTTTCACTGTTGTTCGCCTGTAGATTGAACATTTGCCTGTTTAAATCATAAGACTGTCACTATGCAGAGATGTGCTTCTGCTGCAGTGATGCAGTTCTGCTTGTGTTGAGTGACGTAAACAACCAACCGATCTAAACTCTTCAAACGTCAAAACTGATCATTTGATTTTTTATGACACGGTAATGGCGAGCGTTCCCATCTTCTGCTCTTTGTAACTTAACGCGATCTTTGTGTTTTTGTGTTTTGGACATGGTTTGGGAGTCCATCTTCGCAGTAGCAATTGACCGCAAAATAAAGTTACTGGAAATGCACAACTTTACATCCGGTCTTAAAACAGGAAGTTAGTATTTTCTTGTGCACAGGGTCTATTTACACCAAGTGGTGCAGCACCAAAGCCGGGAAGATGCTGAAAGCCCCCTCCCACCCCACCAATGGACTCTCACTGTTGAGGTCAGAGAAGCGCTTCCGCTCCAATAAGGCCAACACAGAGAGAAAGACGAGGAGCTTCCTCCAGGCTACTCGGGCAATGAACCAGGTGTAGGACTGGAGACTCTGCATATCTCATATCACCGTCTGCTGATTTGCACCTTTTTATTTTGGATTTTTAACTTTCATTTTATACTTGATTTGCAATTTTAGTTTTATTCATGTATCTGGTCTGTCGTACTGTATGCGACAAATACAATCTGAATTTGGATCAGGGCTCGTACGGCCGCCTCAGAGCGGTCCACTGCTGTGTTGTTAGCCATTCCTGGGTCTTTGTCCTGTTGGAGGACTCACAAGCTGCGACTGAGCCAAAGCTTTGTGACGCTGCACAGCTCAGCCCAGAATGCACAGTAGCTACAGCGCTGTGACCACGGAGCTGATGAGCCGATCGAGGCCTTGAACGCTACAACCGGGACGGCTCCAGTAAGACAACATTCCCAGTGTCTCTGTTAGTCTTCAGCACGGATCCTGCATCACACTCAGCCTCCCTCCAAAACCTCGCAAACCATCACCGCACCCCGAGTAGGTTTAAATAAATCAATCTTTGTTTGGAGGATCAGACGGCCGACGTTCTGATGTTCTTGAAATCAAAACGACCGTTGGCGTGCTCGTGACACCGTTTCTGAAACATCTCCGAACGAGCTTCCAGATGTTTTGGTCTTTGGCGCGAGTGAAACGATATTCTGTTTTCCTGAAGTCGGCTTTCACAAGTCGAAATGACATTTCCATGTCAGAACTCCGAGCTGCTGCTGTCGCATCACCCACCACTTCATCTGATCTGTTACCGTCACACACTGTGTGTCTGTGTGTGTCTGTGTGCGTCTGTGCGCGTGCACGCTCACCATCTGCCACACTTGCATGATGTTGTCCTCAGACACCGAGCAGATGATCCAGGGCTCGTTGGGGTTCCAGGAGAAGTCTGAGATCTTTGCCGTGTGGCCGCCGTGGATGAACTGATGGAGATCAGCAATGACAGGTTAGAGAGGCGGGGCTTTGTTCTGACAGGAAAATGATGCACCTGCTGATCACACCTGAAGCACTCGAACACTCTCTGCTTACGTCACAGTATCTGAGTAAGCGCACTTGTCTCATCGAAAGGTCAAAATGAACTAAAACATGTTTGTTTTTTAGGTCAGCCATGATCATGTGATCAGAATAAAGACATGCGAGTGTCACCTAAAGACGTGACGCTGACATCATCACCTACCAGGAGCTCTGGCGGGCCGTCTTCAGCGTCCTCTGCAGACTGCTCCTCCCCAATTTTGCTAAAACGACACAAATCGATATCAGTATTTTTAATAAAAATACATTAGTGTCATTGTCTCAAGCCCCGCCCTGATCTGAAGCTCCGCCTGACAGCGAGGCATTACCTGAGATCCCAGACATTGAGACGCCGGTCGGTGCCGCTGGACGCCAGGATCGTCTCGTTGTGAGGAGACCATTGTACCTAATAAAAAGGACAGGAAGGCCTCGCCATCATTTTTCCGATCACGTGTGAGTCACCGACGAAGCCTCACAAACACTTTCAGGTCTCACCTGGAAAATTTCATCTTTGTGTGACTCAAAGGAGTGAAGCTTCAGTTTGAGGTTTCTCAGATCCCACAATGCAACAGTCTGACAGGAAGAAAAGCACACACACCTCAACATATACGAGTAATAGAAAAAACTTTATTTGTACGATGACAGGAGCAAGTGGGTGTGTCCTCTACCTTATCGGCAGAGCCGGTGGCCAGGATGAACTCGCTGTAGGGATTGAAGCTCAGACAGTTGACCTCGGCGGTGTGAGCGTCCACCGAGTGGCTCGCTTTGGACGTGTTGTTAGAGCGCGTGTCCCATCTGAGGATGGTTGGAGGCAGGTCAGAGCCAGCAGGTTTGATCGCACAGTTAGAAACAACCACCACCTTTAACGATCACTTACATCATCAGCTTCTGGTCGTCGGCGACGGAGCCAAAAAGTGACTCGTGGAGGAGATGCCAGGAGACGTCCTCCACGACCGCCGTGTGGCCCGTGAAGATGGTCTTTGCGTCCAAGATCTTCCCTTCTTTTGGACCGCCCCCGATGTCCCACAGGCAGATGGTCTGAGAGGAAGAGGAGGCGGGGCATGTGGAAGTTTTATGAGCAAACAAACATGAAATATTTAATTGTTCCGTAACTGCGTTCGTCTTCAGATGATAAAAGCAAAGACGATCGTTCTTATTCCTCTGAATGACTACATGTAGAGTTTAGTGTCAACTGTGACCATCAGGGGGAAAATCCACTCGTTAACGGGACTGAGCAGCAATA